GGATCCACACGAGGGCTGTAATGAGAGACAAACAATGAACAGGTCATGCTAGGGAGAAAACAGGAGTGGCAGAGGCAGGGCGTGACAATGTGCAGCTGGGCCATTGCTCCTCGTTTATGACAAACTGATATTTCAAAATCTGTGTGCATTCATGTTCAATAGCCTAGCTGCCTTGCTTACAGTCACTGCTGGTGAACAGACATAGTGCAATTATTAATAAAAACATGTAAACATACATAATATGAAAGTTACATGGTCAGCATTATCCCCCATGGGTTGACGTTTAAAGCACATTTAACTGGACACGTCTTTATCATTTAGGTTTATTCTTATTAATCCATTAATTCTACCTTTTATACTTTAAATAGACACATTAATTGTAACTGAAAAGTATTATGACATCTCACAAAAGTCCCATCCATTTTTTCTCCCCTCCACGTCCCTTCTGAGACTCTGTAATTTGTCAGTCCATCAAAGCTGATAATTAAGTGGAAGTCTTTGTGTATCCTTATGTTGATTGGTTTGCTTCTTTGCCACTAGGAGTTTGGGGATATGCATGGTTGGGAATATTTGTAGATATGAGCAAACTGTGTTTTTGTAAATACAGTGGATAAATGAGACCCCACGGCTGCCAACTGGAGGGGTTGAAAAGGACCCTCTAGCATTTAAATAATTTAATGGAATAATTTGACAAAAATACATATTTGTGAAAACTTTGTATCGTATTTGTGAATAGCATAAAAGCTTGTAATTTTTTATCATCCTGATTTTTTTGACATTTTGACAATTTTACTTTTCTTCCCTATAATGCAAAAAATGGTCTGGTCTTGTACGATCACCCAAACACACGCAACCGAGGAGATCCAGATAGCGACATTCCGAGTTTTGTGGCTTGGAGATTTGGAAACCTAAGCATGGCAAGAATAACAGCCATTCTGGCCCGGAGATAAAGATCTGGTGAAAGTTTGCAGTCTGATCTAGGCTGGCATGCACACTGAAGGAGGAGGATAAGAAAGTGGACAAGAGTGATGGTGACTCCCCCCCCCCCCCCCCCCCCCCCCCCCCATGTGAACAACAAATACTGGCAAACAAGGAGAATGTTGTTTCCAATTCCAAACTCTGTATTGTCTACCCCCCTTTTTTTGGCAGTGTTCCAAAATATTTGTCAGTTTAAACTGTAAACTGTAGCTATACAGGATGCAGTCTCCACCTGACCTTGCACATGTGTGGCTGCAGGCGTGCACACGCCCTTTCGCTGTTTAGACCTCGTTCCAGCCATTCGTATCCCTTGGCCTCGCTCACAGAGGGCGAACAACCCTCTCTTCAGTGGAACGACCTGTCACCAGGTAGTGCAATCTACTACTGATATGTTTGTCTTTTATCTGTTAATAAATGTAAGCTCTTTGTTAAGTTAATTCTAATGGATCGGCCGAGGTGTAATAATTTAATGAGCTTTATTTTGTAAAGTGTTTAAAGAGTTAAAAAATGACATTGCACTGACATGACATGTATATAAAGTGTTTTGTAAATAAACCAGCAGAACTGATGTATTGGAATATGACCTGTAAAAAAGTACTTGTAGTTCTACATGGAGTGAAACTGTATCTGTAATGATTATTCAAGCAACAGATTAAATACAGCGGATGCAATTCAGTGGATAGGATGCAACCAGATGACTTTGTTTGGTTATTTATGGCAAGGATCATTTGTTTTGAGGCTGGGATTTGGGATGCAACTTGTTTGTTAATTACTGCAGGCGTGTGTAATGCTGAATAATGCTTCACCTTAGAGTGCTAATCGATTTCTGCTGTATTCATGATCTTTCTAAATTGTAAATGTACATATTATAATATATAGATTTGTGGGCAATATGTCTTTTGATGGGCAATAGGGGTGTAATTACTGAGTGACGGTGAAGCTCCACTATCCGATGAACGAGCTGTAGATCAGTCTTCTGTGGAGTGACCAATAAGGGGATGTATTTAATGCTTAAATACTCCCTGTCGGGTCTTACAGCTGAAAACAAAATTGGAAAAATCCAGAAAGGAAAGAGTGTATTTCGTCTGGAATTTATGAGTGCTGTCTTTAGTTATGGTGGTTTGTCTTGAACAAACAACTTTTTATGCAAAATAGACCAGTCATGTTCACTTAGAGGGTGGCATGGTGGTGCAGTGGTTAGTGCTGCCACCTCACAGTTAGAAGGCCTGTGAGGAGCCTTTCTGTGAGGAGTTCATGTGAGTTTTCTCCTACGGTCCAAAAGTGTGCACAATAGGTCAATTGGTGATTCTTATTTGGCCCTGTGAGTGTGGGCACCCTGCAATGTTTGCCCAGGTTTGGTTCCCA